GAGAGGGGCAAGATCGGACAACTGTAAGCATTGTGGTCAGTACCAGGTACCCATGCCGACATCGGCTGGAGCAGACAAAACTCCATCGAATGACGTCATTGCTGATTTGGGGTTTGCTCTTGACGGAGAACCAATTGCCATTTCTGAAGGATATTTGACTTTCGCGAATGATATCACTTGATTTTTCGGGCTGTAAAAATGGAGGGCTTCGTGGAGTGTCATTAGCCTTCCCCTCCCCCCTTTTCTTTTTGCCTTTGTTTCCATTTTTGGTCGAATTCTCCCGGGCAAAGACCTCTTGATGACAACAACGAAACCTGTCTTTGAGATTCAATTACTAAAATGAGATGAAGGTGCAGTCTCATACGATGCACGATGTACAAGACTTCTTCGACTTCACCGTCGAATTGTCGGTCGCTCCCTAGGTATGTTGTTGGCACCGTAAGTATTAAGTAACATGGGGGCTAGGCACAGCTTAGCCGCCTGGTTGCCTTCGGACTAGGCAACCAACACCAGACGGCACCATAAAATGCCCTGCTGCTCTCACTGATGTGCTCTGAGTCGAAACTTGATTTACACTAATTAAGCCGACATGTCTACTTCAACTACCACATCGAGCAATTTAGACCCGGCGGCGGTCGCTGACTTTCATGGAACACTCAAACAATCGAAGCGCATCGTCGCCATCGTCGGTGCAGGTCTCTCGGCAGCCTCGGGTCTGGCGACGTTCAGACAAGCCAGTGGACCATGGACGAACCAGGACATGACACAAGTCGCATCGCCCGCCGGGTTTCTACACGATCCGGGCATGGTCTGGCAGTTCTACACCTATCGTCGACAGGAAGCACTTCGCGCGAAACCCAACCCAGCTCACTACGCCTTGGCTGAGCTTGCCCGCCGAGTTCCAGGCTTCATCACTCTCACCCAAAATGTCGACAATCTGAGTCAGCTTGCCGGGCATCCGGCTGATCAGATGAAAGAACTGCATGGGAATCTCTTCACACTGTCTTGCTTCGACAAGGACGGATGCGGGTATGTCGAGCGTGACAACTTTGAGACATCTCTCACCCCGGCCCTTGACCCCTCCAAGGACGAGCAAGCAGCTATGGGAAGCATCGACCCTAATCACCGGCCAAAGGCCAGCCCGGTTCTTCTTGCCGGCATCGCTCGAAAGCACGCACAGATCCTTGGGGACAAATACAAAGAGGAAACACCAACCATCCAGGACTTGACTGCCCTCAAGCCTCCGGAACAGCTCACCGTCAACCCAGTTGCCAACATCCGTTTGACGTCCGGGCTGGCCAAATCAGACCTACCGCAATGCCCCAAGTGTAAGACGAACCTTCTCAGGCCAGGCGTCGTGTGGTTTGGCGAGCCTCTGGCCGTCGAAACAGTGGAAGAAACTAAAGCAATCTTTGACGAGCCTGCGCCTATCGATCTCTGTCTTGTTATAGGCACTTCCAGTTCCGTTTGGCCCGCTGCTGGGTATGCTGAGATGGCCAAGAAGAAAGGCGCGAGAGTTGCAGTCATCAACATCCACGCAGACGATGCAAAGGGTATTCGACCGAACCAGGATTGGGTATTTGTTGGCGACGCCGCTGTCGTTTTGCCGGAGTTGCTGAAGCCTATTGTTGGCGAAATTGAGACGTAGGATATTCGGAAAGGTCTCAGCATATGCCTACCCAGCCCGTCCAACGATCCGCAATAAATTCCAACCCAGTCGAAATGCTATTCTTTACAGTGAAGTGATCATCATACAAAGTGGAGACGCACAACGCGCCCAACATGTTGCTGGCAGAATTACTGCTGATTTTTGAAGCTTGGCAAATGAGGGAGCATTTGTATGTAATCTCCATTTCTTCGAGCCTGTTTCAAAGACGGTTTGCATGAGCTGTAATACAACTTGTGCACAAAATGCCCGTGAAGCTGAATTCAAATGACCAGGGCTGTTTGTCCTATGTAGGGTTGCATGGGTACGGTGTGGACCTGGTCCTCTTCCGGATGAATCGGAGGGGTCTCCCGGAGAGCTAGACAGGGGGGCTGGCGGTGAGATGTTCAACTGCCAATAAGAAGAACGACGGCCCGACCATCTCATGCACCTCGCCCGTAGCCGCCATGGGCTTTCTCGTTTGCGGTGCGAAATATCCACTTGACGCGGGGTCTTTGGGCACACCGACATCTGGCGACTTAGTTGGCCTGAAAGAAACACAACCACGACCCATCATCACAGGGTGAACGATCACGGCTCTCAGTACCGAATCAAGGCCACGATAGCTGACTAAACGCACAAGAAGTCGCACATAAAGCGAATCAAGATGGAGGTGGCCCACGCGAAGTCGCTGCAGGCGTTAAAGGCCAGCGTGCCAAGCGAGAACGCCTCTCCAGAGCGGGTGCGCCTCTGGCTCCTCCAGCTCCTGAGGCACCGCAAAATTGACCTTGTCGATGGACCCATCTCCTTCGTCTGCCTGTGGAACGGCGCTGAGCTGCATTCCATGCACCCGAATCACGTCTTCGGATTCTTCATCTCCAAGGGTCTTGCCCCGCACAAGGCCAGCAACCTTGTCAGAGATATTACAGAATGTCTGGAGGTATGGGCTCACTCGCTTGGAAACCCACTTCCCCAGTCTGGACCCCTTGCTGACGATGGTGGCACTGTCAAGGATTACCGCGCAAGGCGCGCCGCCTGTCGTGCGGCTGGCAAAGTCTGGCTTCCGGAGTCGGACTCCTGCCCAATTCCGGGCGCGGAGACCGAGCACGACTTGATTGATCTTCCTTCGAGTACCGAAATTTCGAAGAGTCGGACGGCCTCGGAAGATATTGCCACTACTTTATCGCCGAATAATCCTGGCCTTTTACTTGGAGCAGCCCTATCCACTGTCATCGGCTTCGGAGTGCTAGCGTGGTGGAGAGTGCGTATCCATTCATGATGAGAAAGAGATGAGAACACGACCTTAATGAGCAAAACGAACACGGGAATGGAAATCTAGAAGGAAAGTTTATGCGCAAATGATCTCTCATTTGTTGACAAAGTTCTACTTGGTGGTCCTTCATCCAAATATATCTCAGCTCTTCGTAGCCTGGTCGTTTTCAACGGCGTGAGAAGTCGCAACTTCCATTGCAAACCCGAAAACACGAGCATACCAGCCTTGAGACCAGTAGCTAAGCTCCATATTGTGCGGTGCTCCGCGTATGAGACTAGCGTCGACTTTCTTGCTCCCCTTGAAAGCCTCCGCATACTCTCGAAGGTCCTTGTCTGTTCCAAACCACAGCCCATCACGCTCGGCGAGGCCAATAGACAGGGGAACCTTGATGTCGGCCGCATATTTCTCGTTCCAAGTCGCCAAGAACTTGCTGTACAGGTCGACGATCTCGCGGAATGGCATGGGGCGGTCGAGAATAGCCGTGTTCTCTAACATTGCAGGGTCAACTCCTCCAGGAATGAACATGATGGCATCTTTGGCTTCTTTCGGTATCGTGAAGAATTCCGGTGGATTATCTCCTATGCGCGCAGAACTAGGATCGCGGAAGTTCTTCGTGCCGTTCCCAAATCCTGAGATGCTGATGCCGGCGAGGGGATAAGCTGGCGACGTCTCTTTCGCGTGGACTGCTGCAGCGACGCATGCTCCAGGGGTGCCCAAGGAATGGCAATGAAGGACGATTGAAGAACAATCGTTGACAACACCAAATGCTTTCCAAATTGCCGGTAGAAGTTGCTGATGGAGAAGCTTGCCCCATTCTTCTTGGAAAGATGAGGTCTCGGGAATGTTGCCGACCGCAGTTGTCTGTTCGTATCCTGGTCTGTCAATTGCAACAAATGGGACTCCAGTAGCTGAGCTCATATGTCTGGCGCTGTACTCGTTGACATCGAAGTATGCGCTGCAATAGCATCCGCCGTGAAGCCCCACAATGAGGGGGCAGAATTTGGGTCGTGAGGGCCCAGAGTCTCGCGGCGGGATGTTGTGACGACCGGAGACGGAAGTTGTGACGGAGAGATCCAGTTTGAAAGCTTGCATTTTGGCGGTTAGAACGTCTGGTTGACGTCGCACGTTTAGGGAAACCAGTAACGAATCCGGACTGTGTATCGTTTGCCGTCGGCTGCTGGCGAAGAATTCAATATTGTCTCCGTAGGATTGAGGCTTGTTCGGACAGATATAAGACCAATAAAAGCAACTGGCCTTGCTAGACAGCTTGACTTCAACGGCCGATATAGAAAGCGATTGTGTGCACTACGCTCAGAAGCATCGACATGACTTCAACCCCGCAGATAACGGAGTGAGGCCAGACTTCGTCTTGAGGGCTTTTCTCGGTTTCGATCAGCCAGGGCCCATAAAAGTATGACAAAAATTGCCGAACTCACAACGCTGGGAGTCTCAATCGCCTGACCTTCTTTATCGGGAACCTCCCCGGCTGAATCAACCGACAAAAATAGTTCGCGTCTCTTTCTATACAAGGATAATTCCATATATCGTCTCGATCCACCTATCACCATACAAAAGCCTGCAAAGGTGCAGGCGAACGACTGCTTGACCCATCAAGAACGCTACGTACCTTGGTGTTGGTTGTTTATACACTGCACGCTTTTCTCCTCTTTCCTCCTGATCTCACGCAGCTGAACCCCCATCTATCGTATGTTTTGAGCTTGTGAGGGGATCTAGGGGCTTAAGGACAACTTCTCAACGTGCAATACAAGCTCATATCGCTGGCAAGCACACTGACACATCGCATCTATTCAGCTATTCAGCTTTTTTGACAAAAGACAAAAATGCAAACGACAATGCCTGCATCAACTGAGAAAGAAGTCCATTTCTTGTTGTTATCCTCAACTAACGATGAGGACCCGAAAATATCGCCTCCCACCATCGCAGCTGACGATGCGACCTCTGGCAAAAAGCCCGAGATCAATGACGATCTCGAGCTCAGCACACCAAGTTCCCTTTCGTCTAGCATTCGTGACTTCAAATTCGAGATTCCCGAATGACGAATCTGAGCAACAACGAGAAAACATGAAGCATCACATGATCGTTGCCCTCTGCGGTAATAAGCTACACAACGCGCCCCTTTCCGATCCCAGGAAGGTCCTTGACATTGGAACAGGTACGGGAATGTGGGCTATTAAGATTATGAATCACGCGATGTTCTTGCGCCTCTGGCTACTGACATTTGGAAGCGGGTGAAACATACCCTGAAGCAGAGGTTGAGAGCATTGACTTGAGTCCCATTCAGCCGCCATTCTTACCACCGAACGTTCACTTCATTGTTGACGACATTGAGGCACAATGGCTGCACAAGGATGATTCTTTGGACTACATTCATTTGCGTCATATGGCGCCATCGGTCAAGGATTGGCCAAAGCTACTAGCTCAGGCGTACAGGTGCGTACAACGATTCGAAATCCTTGTCTGCCGAATATCTCTTGACTGGCAACTAAACAAACTAGAGCTCTCAAACCAGGTGGTTGGCTTGAACTGCAAGACATCGTGCCCGAGTGCAAATGCGACGATAGCACTATGCCCTCTGGGCAACAGTATGCTCCTGCTAAGATGATGGACCTTATCAAAGATGGTCTTTCCCATTTTGATGTGGATCTGCGAGCAGGCAGCAGTCATAAGAATCGAATTGAAGCTGCAGGCTTTCAGAATCTTATCCATGATATCAAGAAACTTCCCGTGGGCACATGGCCAAAGGACTCTCACTTGAAGTCTGTTGGTTCATATGCCCGCGCTGTCATCTATGATGGGCTACACGGCAATACTATCGAGCCTTTTACGAGGGGTTTGGGTTGGACTCCTCTTGAAGTCGAAGCTTTCCTCGTTGAATTTCGCAGAGAAATGCTGAAAGATGACGTTCACCCCTACATCTTGTATCATTCATACTCGGGGCGGAAACCCCCGAGACCGGCGTAATTTAGAAATAACCCAGTTGAGCGGATGAATATTTTGGAGTTTGAATTTTGGATCACTTTGAAATGGAGCCAATTAAGACAATCTGAGAAAGCTGGGGCCAAGCTGGTTATCGAACATGTATATGGGCGTTCGCATTGCATCCATCCTTCAAAACTAGCGAGACAACTCGATACATCCTCAATGGTGTGCCTCACTTCAAAGATTGAGCACACAAGTTTCCAACAGATGCAATATTGAGTCTCTTAGATACGACATTCATGATTCTCGCCGTTCACAGAGATTGCCAGGCGACAACCTTCAATGCCACTGGCGGGTAGATGCAGGAAACGCCAAGGGCAACGGCCCCAATTGTAACCTGCGGTATCCCGTCGACAAACGGATCAAGCTCAGATGGTCCGACGACAAAATCTGTTCTTTTGGTTCACCGCTCCTCCTCGCTGCTCAAAGACTTTCCTATCTTTCTAGAAGACATTCTGTCTCGAGCAGCTCTATCACCCCCAATTCTGCCGAGAAACATCTTTCGTGCAGCCAAGATCCTGGCCATCAAGGCTGCACACGTACAATGGCCCACGCTGAGCTTTCATCTTCCTATCGTCGGTACAAGATCAAGACCGATCAGGCACTTGGTTGGGTGATTACCACTGCGGGAGAGCTGAGTGGTGTCAAGAACGTTTCACAGTCACACAAAGTACTGGAGCTGGTAGACATGGCGCAGATATGCGCAGCAGCTGGGAAGATCATGCCGGAGAGTAGGAAATCAGCACTTCGAGAGGCTCTTGCACTTCGTCGTCGCTGTGCGAAATGGTTCCAGCATCACGGTTCTCCCGCAGCAAACTCTGCTCATGCCTTCTTCAACGACAAGTTGCAGCAGATTCTTGACTGCTTTCCCGCCTCTGTAACGAGTAACACGTCGAAAGGAACGACGACTCGCGACAAAGCTCAAAGCGACAACTTCTTTGCGGTCCTTGGTGACAGTATGGACATTGGGGCGACTGCCCCTGACGACACTGAACCGAGCCAAGCGCGTGTTGACGCGAACCCCAAGCCGACTATCGAGCGTCCGAACATTGAACCACCTGCACGACCTCTCGAGAAGTTAACCACCATCGAGGACAATCATATCATGGAGCTCATCTGTCTCTTCAACGATGCTCGCGACGTCCGCAACTTCCTCAAGCGTACTTGGACACGGTACGCTGAACGGAAGACCGATCTTGTGACCGCCAGTCTAGTAACTCAGGCCTCCTTCCAACACTTGACACATCTCGAACTCGACTTCTCGCGGGGTTATCGCTTTGGTTTCCTCGACATCATGTTTGGAACTCTGTACACATTTTGCGCTCTAGGAGAGGCAAAGCATTGGCTGGTGATGCCGACCGAGACCGAGGCCAAAGCGTTTGCGTACGACAACATGCAACGGATTATAAGGTCTGGATGGATACCGACGCCAGAAATTGACGATTGGCTCATGTCAGATACGCTTGGCATGTTGGATTCCATTGCGGATGTTCTCTCAAAAGGCGGGCAGCCAACAGAAGATGCGCTCCGGCCAGTTTTGTCCAAGTGCTCGACGAACGCCGAGCATTTTCTTCCCGACACACGCCGTCTCGCTCAACTCCACATTGAGTCTAAGGCAATGCAACCATCTTTTGCTCGAGTGGATCTTCTCGCCACTCGTCTCAGAGAGACAATACAACGCACCCGGGTCAGGATGAGTACCGCGGCTATGTGTCGTACATTCTTCGACCTCTACACCATCAGTGGTCTGCACTCTCTTGTTGAGTCTGATCTGAAGCAATTCATGAGCCATCGTTCGATACAACATCTGATAGAGATCGACAAGAGTTCTGGCATTCAGGATTCTTTGATGAAAGCTCATCTTGACGCTCTCTTTCCGCCTGTCAATTCAGATCAGAAGAAACTCTCTGTCCGCAATCCGTTGTTTCTAGGGTCTGTTCTGAGTTCTCTGGTTTTGAAACTGAACAGTTCGGAGCTCAGTATAGTGAACAAAAGCGGATCGCTGATGGCCGCGGCGCATTTGTACAATGCTCTTCGCGTTTTCAATCCCCAGACCATGCCGCGCTGGCACGACCTGGACCTCTTGATCGAGCTGCAGAAGGAGCCTATGTTTGCCCCCGAGCCGCCAACCGAGTTCGCTCAATGCGTCAGTAGATTCTGGATAGCTCAAGGACTAAAGCCGTCGGAGATTGTGTCAGCTCGAATGACGTCCAGAAGACTGGCTCTTGCATCTGGACGTAAACATCCAACCGAACTATATGAGAAGCGTTTGGCAGGTTTGAAAAGGGGCTCCGGGGTGAGAAGAGAGCTTCGGACTTTGGCGGAGGGGCTTGATCCCTTGAAGAACACCCCAGGCAAGCGGCGCGAGTTGCGACTGGCACCGCTATTGCAACATCTTCACTGGATGCGATGCATTACCGGTGGATGGAGGCTATCAATGGACGAGAAGACGGTACGAGGGTCTGTCGAGACAGATCTGGGAAAACGTCTCGGTCGCGGTCAATCTCCTCCCCGAGCAAGTGATCTACCCGTTGTCGTCTGGCTTGGTCAACTGGAGAAGATGATCCAAGCTGAGACACCAAGCTTGTTCTTTGGCTTCACAGAATTGGAACAAATCATGCTCGATAGTCTCGGCTCTCTTGCGTCGACTGGGGCGGTAGCTCGCGCCTTTGAACAGCCCGACTGTGCCCTTGCGTCGTGGAAAAAGAGCATGCCATCTGAGGAATCGCTCCTCGAATCTGAGCATAAAAGGTGGTTGGGTTGGTGCAGGTAAGTCTCTCATCTCCCGTGCTCCGACCTAAATGACGTTTGCTCATACCATTCGTTGTAGCAAATTGGGTATCACAGTGCCTTCCGGGCTTGTAGGCACACCAAAACAAACCCACTGAGATCTACCTGTGTAAGGTCTTCTGCTGTACCAGTTCCCAGTGCCTGCAGATTTAATGAACTTGCGTTTATTTCAGTCTAGAACTATGTGTTTTTGTGATTATCAGATTGACGAAGAGCATGTCACTTCTTGTGACTTTGTCGTTTGAGCAAAATTGACCTAAGAAATGGCCTCATGCTGAGTTACACTAATGGCATCATAGCCTGTTGAAGTCTACTTTACCACAAAATTGTTTGCTTTAGATCATGACTGAAGACACTTTTGAATCCCAATTCTTGATATTGCCTCTCGTGTTGATCCGGATCCTCAGTCATCATGCATTCCGACGCATCTTAACAGACATGTTCCCAAACTAACAGTGATCCCTGAGGTAGCTGCGAGAAGCTGCAAAGATGACAGCAGTTGATCGCCGTTTTCAATGTTGACCTTTTAGCACAGTTCATGCAGATTCGCCTTTTCAAATGAAGTAAGTCTTTTCATCTACGAAACTCCGTAGTTCCTTCTTTTGTCGTTCTGGCCGATTAGGACCTTCCTAGTTGTGTGACGTGTCGGTTGCTTCTCGATTACAGCAAGTCCTTCCCTCACCTCTTTCCTTAAATAAGACCTCCTCGAGAGGGTATAAATTCAGACTTCTAGCCATCTGTCCTCCGGTTCCTCTTGTCCTCCTCCAACGCACAATTTTGGTCTCGATCGACCGGGCTTGTCAATACTTCAAAGGTCTCCAACATTTCTTCATTTTCCACATTGCTTTGAAACACACACAAATCAACTTGACTTGACCTCAAGTCGCAGAAACAAAACAACGCCATATTTGAACTGAACTTCGGACTTGCCTGTTCTACGTCGCTCTTGCCTCGCAACACCAAATACACAAAGTCTTCAGACGCTTCTTTCAAAATTTGAGCCTTATCCTCAAGTCGAGTCGCTCTTACCTTCCGACACAATTAATGATGGAGTTCATCCCGGCTCGAGACCTCATTGTAGCGCGATATGCAACTAAAGTCACACGAATCGAGGACTTCGCCGATCAAGATGTTAGAGGCTGGCTGACAATCAACCGTTCAGCACGAGATGGCAACATGAAGCGAACCCCATGGGCCCTTCGTATTCTTCCGGACTATGTCGAAGAGATCAACAGCAACTTCCCTCAAGCTCTGATTGCCATGGATAACAGTCGAAATGTCGGCTGCCTCAACGGTATCGCTCTGCTCAACTCAAGGATCAAAATCACAACTCTTGGCGGTCTCGACCGTCCCCGCGAACTGTACCGAGCTATCCACAGCGGCCAGCCTGACGATGGCATAAAGTCGAGGCTGGGCCGTGAGAGCGACGCGGTTTTCTTCCATCATCATCTTCGGCGACACTTGAGGTGGCAGAGCCGGGAGCCAAGTCCCTTTCTTTCAGCGACTAATGACCTTAAAAAGGCTGCCCGAATTGCTGCAATTTACGTTGCAAAGGGCTTTGACGATGTCCGAATCATCAGGTTCAACACCCAAGGACCTGGTTGGGATCACAATTTGAATCGAATGTGGAACCCCCGCGAGCTGGCCAGAATGTTGAGCCCGCGTGACGACAAGAAACACTTGGACAACGAGGTGCTCATTGAGCACTCCATCCCGAAGGATAGCATTCTTGAGAAATACAGATGGCAAGAGCACAAGGCGCACCTGGACCCGAGCGGCCGGACTGAGGCACACGCAAAAGCAATTCAGTTGACAAGAGACAAGATCAAGGTGGATCGCCAGGAAAAGGCTCAGAAGCTTTGTGAGGACAATAGCAAGAAAGCTGCGGAGGAGACACAGGCGAAGGGGAAGGCCGAAGCTCAAGACAAAATGAAACCACAGTATGATGCGGAAGAATCTGAGAAGAAGCGAAAAGCCAATGACGACGAGGGCGAGGAATTTACACCCGTCGCGAAGAGACTCAAGCGGTTTAAAATTGGTCAGAAGATGACGGCAAACTCAAGCCGTTAAAGGGCATCGGAAAGTCGCAGCCATGATGAAGGGAGGAATGGAAGGCGGCGGTGCCACTGTTGGATCAATTACGGTTTTTCTTCTTTCCTATGTCTGCCTTCTTTGCGTTGTCTGGGGTGCTTCGTTACAGGTGAAAGGAGCGCGAAATTCCAGCAGCACCTGGCATGGTCACTAGCATAATGCGATAAAATAGCGCCAATTTCTATCATCATTCGTCTTGAACATGCTCGTGCCACTGAATCCGACTTCATACAATGTTCGCGAAAGGCGGGTAACCATTTCCGCTAAATATTTCTCAGGAACACAATGAGAAAACATGGAGGCATGTGTAGACCTATGCGGTCTCGTAAAAGTTTCACCTCTGGTGGGATTGTAGACACATGTCACCTTACGCGCGCATACATACGCGTGGTCAGTAATGCGCAAGTCTCAAGTAGATTCGTTGAGAGCTCGCATCATGGTCTCCCTTAAACTCAAATAGGCATATTGTCTTGGTAACTGACTCGACTTAGGTCTGAGGCGCCTGATCTTGTCCATGAAATCTATTGAGACCCTTTCACGGCTCCGTCCATCTATCTGACACGCTGTAGGGCGATTTTAGCGGATGCACGAGTATTAGGAGCGTCTGCACAACTGCTTGCTCGCGCGAAGTACGTTCCTCCAAACGCGCGGTCCTTGCCTGCGATCCAGTTGAGTAAGGAAAAGAAACCTGGCTAACCAGCATTCTCTCCAATAGTGCGGTGCTGCATTCAAGTTGCAGAGCGTCAACGTCAGCGAAGGTGCTTGTGCTTGCTTCTGTACCGAGTAAATGGCGCACTGAGTTATTGTTTTGTTTAAATCCTGTCATCGGCCATAGCGTGGCATCTGCTACACAGTATTGGTTTTGTTATATCACCGCTCAAAAACCATCACTTGGCGTGTTCCGTCAAAGTTTCCCTCTGCTTCCCGCGAAAGCTTTCACCTCGGGGCTGCTGAAAGTGGCTAGCATCTATCGACCCGTGGTTGCCATTTCGGAGGTCGAATCAAGGATGAGCCTGAGTTCGAGGGCGAGGACAACATCAGCTCATTCGACTACATTCCATCTGGCGCTGCGTCCTCTGCTGTCGGTTCATCTTACCCAAGGCAGACTGCTCGCCGTGGTAACCCTAGCTTTGGTGGCAGAATCAAGCGCGAAACTGTGCTCAAAGAGGAATTCGACGACATACCAGCTCCGGTTAGTCTTCTGCCCCTCGGTCTAATCAATGGTCGCTACGAGGTTGTGTACATGGGCTTTGGCCGCAGCTATCTGAACGAAGACAGCGCACTTCCCTCCTACATACAACCCCACCGGCACCCACTGTTAGTGCCGCGCCGGGTCCGCCACATCAACACTAACACTACCAAATCCATCCCATACAACTAGAACCCTCGCCCGCGATGGCCTCGCAGCCAGCCGCGGGCCCCTCGCAGGCCCCTAGAGGCCTCTCATCCTCTATACATAGCCTCCCCCGGACCCCCCCTCCCCCTACCTCCCTACCTCCACGACCGAGGGGCCTCACGCCCCCCCCTATCCGGCCCTTGGGAAGGGGGCCACGATCGGCCGCCGCCGCCCTCCAGCAGGCTCGAGAGGGTCGGGCCCTCCGAGATGAGGCCCTAGACCTCCTCGCCAAAGGCCTAGATGCCCTCATTGGGACGGCCCCAGCACGACTAAAGGCTACAGCCCAGGACCTCATCGATACCTTTACCCGGTTTGCGACCGCAGAAATCTCTGGACCCACCCCCGGCCCCGGCACGGGAAAGACGTATGCCCAGGCAGCTAGTGACTCTACCGCTAGCGGCCCCGGCCCCAGCCCCGGCCCCAGCTCCGGCTCCGGCCCCAGGCCGAACCCAGTAACAGGCCGGCGGGCCACCAGCTGCATACGCCAGCCTAAACAGACCCAGGACCTCCGCCTACTAGTTCGGCTCCCGGCAGAACATATACCTACCTCCAGAACCCTAGCCCCTCACTCAGTTAAGATGGTGGTAACAAAGGAGCTTAACTTACAGCCGCAAGACCTAGTTGAGGTCCGCCATACTGCTACAGGCTTCTCACTTCAGCCCCAAAACAAGGAGATCCAAGCCTTACTTCTTCAGAGAGCCCTTAAGATCAAAAACTGCCTTACAGCTGAGAAGGTTGAGATACCTACTAAGTGGCATCAGTATATCGTCCTATTCTGCCCCCTCTACTTTACCAGCCTTGATGGCAGTAGGGTTAGCATAGAATCTGAAATAGAGGAAGAGGTCTTCCTAAAGACAAAGCAAAGACTCCTCTCCTGGCGCCCAACCCGAGATAGCCCCGATCTAGCCACAGCTACACAAAGCCTGATTATCGCCCTCCCTCAAGGGGTTAAGGGAGGCTTCCGCCTGTTTGGACAGTCAGGCCCTGCCCGTCTGCTTCCCCCGAGGAAGCAGACCCCCAAACAACACTCCCCTAGCTGCCAGGGCTTTCACTCAAACCGCTACTGCACCCGGAAACCCCTCTGCGAGAACTGCAGCAAACCGCTAGATACTCATGAGGCTGGGAGCTGCTTAGCTAGGTCTAAGTGTGCTAACTGCTATGGTCCCTTCCCAGCAAGCCATGCAGACTGCCCAGCTAGGCCTCTGCTGGTTAATGGAAACCTAATTATCCCAACCTGGAAGGAACTGCGAGGTATCCAGATAGCTGGAGAGAAGGCGTCTGATGATCTCCTAGCTAGCTGGGCCTGCGCCCCAGGCAGCACACAGCAAGCCAGGGCTAAGCCAAGCGCTACACAAGAGCAACAACTGGCATCTAAGCGCCCTCAACCCCTCACACCCACATAAGACTTAATTGTTGTTGCAGATACTGCTAGTGTAGCTGGGAGCAACAATATGGATGAGGATGAGGCTGAAGACTCTGAAGCCCTCCCCCCCCTAACTAACCGCCCTATCCATCCACTCCTAAGCAGCAGCAGGAGCCAGAGGGTAGCCCAGAAGCCTGACTATAATATTGTTAATGCCTACACCCACCTCGACCTCGACTCAGAGCTATAGGCTCAGGCCAGCTACCCTATAGGTACTACGAGTTGCCTAGTGTAATGTGGGGAAGAGGAGCCCAGCCTATACAGCTCTCTTGGAGCTCTGCTGGGCAGATCAGATCGACATAGTCCTAATACAGGAACCCTGGGTAGGCTATAGAGATAAGATGCAGATTAACACACACCTAGGCTTTAACTCCTATATACCAGTTGACTTCTGGAACAGCAGAGACATAAGGCCTAGGGTTATGACCTACACACGTAAAGGTCTAAGGCTGCAGATACAGCAACAAAGACCTACCTAATTAAGAGATATCTTATGGGTGAAAGCTGGCGACCTCACTATTATGAATATATATAGGCCGCCAGATGAGCCTATAAACCAAGCAACCAGCCTCCTTTTAGATTATCAACCGCCAGAGAGAGCCCTTATCGCTAGGGACCTTAATGCCTGCCACTCCTCTTGGGAACCTGGGACCCCTAGCTGGAACCAGGGCGACGATATTGCAGAGTGGGCTGAAGTCTATGATCTGTCGTTTATTGGAGAAGTTAGGGCCCCTACCTATACTCATAGGCATACCCTCAACCTGACCTTCTCAAATATCCCCTTTGCTGAAGCTTATATTAGCCCACACCTACACCCAGGGGCTGACCACCAAGCTATTACAACAATTATCCCTATAGGCAAGGCCCAGGAACAGGGACGCCAGACTAGCCACCTCTCAGTCCCAGAGTCAGCCCTACCCCGATTTATCGACCTAGTAAAGGCTGGGGCTGCAGCCCTGCCTACCCCAGGGGAACACCCAAGCCCAGCGGAGCTGGACACTCTAGCTGCCTAACTGGTTAGTCTCTTCCACACAGCCGTTCAAGCTGTAGGTAAGAGACGGACTAACCAGGGCAGGGGAGCCCCCTGGTGGACAGAAGACTGCTCAGAAGCCTACCGAGCTGCTATTAAGGCTAGGCGCCAACAGGCCCAAGAACCAGGGCTAGTTATACCTCCCCCTGTCCTAGAGGAGCAGAAAGTCTTCCTGACAACCGTCAGAAGGGCAAAACGCGCCTACTAGATAGCTAAGATTAAAGAGGTTAAGACAGACCAAGACCTGTATAAAATCTTAGGCTGGCGGAAGTCTAGCTTAGCAGTTAAAGCCCTACCTCTCATAGTAGAAGGACGGACGATCAGCAATAGCCTTAATAAGGCTCAGGCCCTTCGAAAGGCCTTATTAGAGCGATTTAGTGCTGCAGACAACTTACCTGGGAACCCCTTTGCTATTCCAGTAGTCGCAAGGCGTCTTATACCCTGGTAGGATATAGTTAGTATGGAGGAAGTACGCCAGGCTACTCTAACAGAGACTACAACCCCTGGGACTGATAGGATTACTACAAAGTTACTATAATGCACCTGGGGTTTAGTAGCTAGGCCTATACAGCAGCTCTTCCAGGCCTGCGTATAGGTAGGCTACTTCCCTAGACCCTTCCGCAAAGCAGAGGTTGTTATGATCCAGAAGCCGGGGAAAACAGACTTCTCTAAGACTGGGTCTTAGCGCCTGATATCCCTGTTATCCTGCTTAGGCAAAGGCTTAGAGCGGCTGATAGCAAAAAGGATGGCCTACCTTACTATCCTAGAAGGGGCTGCCAGCCCACAGCAGGTTGGAGCCCTACCAGGGAGGGCTGCAGTTGACCTCACAACCTGTCTAACCCATGAGATTGAGAGGGCTCTAGATACAGGGCTTACTGCGACGCTAGCAACAATGGACGTCAAGGGGGCGTTTGATTCCGTCTTACGAAACCGACTTATTATCAGGCTACGACAGCAGGGCTGGCCTAGCAGCCTGATCAGACTGGTCTACACCTTCACCTCCAGCCGAACAGCCTGCGTCAGGCTAGAGGATACTACTACTGAGGACTTCCCTCTTTCCTGTGGACTACCGCAAGGCTCTCCGCTGTCACCTATCCTCTTCCTGCTCTATATAGCTGATATCCTAGCTGACGATCAGAAGCTACGGTTTGGCTATGCAGACGATATAGGCTTAGTAGCTACTAGCCCCTCGCTAGAAGAGAATGCTACAGCCCTAGGCCAGGAGATCACTAGTATCCTCAGCTGGGGAACAGAAAATAAAGTCGCCTTTAACCCAGCTAAGTGTGAGGCAATCCACTTCAGCAGAAAATATAAACAGACAACAGACCTACCAGATATCCAAGCGAGAGGCCTAACTATTAAGGCCTCAACTAAGCCTATAAGATAGCTAGGGGTCTGGTTTGATAGGAGACTCACCTTCTAACACCATATAGCAATAAAGGTAGCAGCAGCAAAGAAGGTAGCCTATTTCCTATGGCACCTAACAAACACTAAAGGGGGGCTCCCAGCAGTTGCAGTTCGAAAAGCAGTTCTTGCTTGCGCCCTCCCAATAGCCCTATATGGAGCGGAGACCTGGTATGCAGGCCTGACCAGACCAGCCCTGAACAGCAGCACCAATACTAGCAGTAGCACTACTCTACAGATAGCTACAGTTGGCACAGGACAGAAGGGCCTAGCCTGTAGAGTTAGAAAAGTTATCACAGCAGCAGCAAGGGCTATCCTACCTGTCTGGAGGACCACACCAACCAGTGCCCTCATCTGAGATGCTGGCCTACCTACAGCAGAGGTAGCCCTTGAGGCAGCGCGACTACGCTTTGCTACACGCCTACAGAAGGTTGACCAACAACATCCCTTAGTCCCAAGGCTTCTGCAGCCAGGGCGGCAGCAGACCAGGCTCCAAAGAACAGCTGGCCTCTTACCCAAGTGTCCAAGGCCAGCACTCCTACAGCTGCAATACCTCCCAGGGT